GTTTTTTTTCTTCTCTCTCGTCTCCCTGTTTAGATTCCATTCCTATTTTACTTCAGTCATATTATCCACCACTCTGTTTTTGTCACAAACAGGAAAGCAGACTAAATTTACCACGATTGTTGCCTATTTGGATGGGTTACTATTGCTTCAGGACGCTGGAGTCTTTCCGAACAGCTTTGTCCTTTTCTTCACCCCCGTGGTGGGAACGGAATGACTCGCGAGGGGGAACCACTTTGACGAGTCAGAGGCGCGGGAACTAGGGGAAAAGCGCAACACCAGAGGCCGCCTTGACCTTCTCTTAGACTAGCATGAACAATCCTCAGGTTTGAGGGTAAAGGATAACGCTTTCCCTCTAGCCGCCGCTGGTTACCAACCAGTGGTCATTGCACTTGACGCAATGAGGTGCACGATAGCAGAACCGTTGCCTGCCAAGCATATCTCGTCCTGCATCTACGGAGGCCCAGACGGAGTCTGTGCTCCCCCGTCCTATGACGAAGTAAAGCGACCGGCCGAGTGGCGTGGATTCTAGTGGTTCTTCGAGTCGGCTAGTTGTCAGACCGGAGGCTGGGCTGCATTATTTCCCCCGATGGACGGTTGACCAACAAGCTTGAGAGATACGACCCAGGATTAACGGGCTTGGTCTTGGTCTTGGTCCCCTACTTTCTTTTCTGGTTCTCTTTGTTCGACCCTGGTCTTGGTTCCCTCCATGAACCCTGCCAAGGGACTGCCATTCTGTGATGGACACGACCGATGCAATGTGATCAACGCTGTCCACCCCCACCCCCCATGTGGTGTAGTAACACAAGAATATCATGCATACGGAGTAGTTGGTTAGTTAGACGTTAGTGGGTTAGTCAGTGAACACCGGACAATCATCAGTTGGCGCTGAAATTGCATGGACGGGTGGAGTTCCCTAAGGTTAGTCGCCAACTTCTCTCTCTCGCTCTCTCTCACTCCCGGGAGTGGGGAGGCCGAGGATTTTTCGGATGGCGGGCCATTCAACGGGCATATTGCATACGTTATCCCCGCAGTTCCATCCCTTTTCATTTGTTTAGAGATTGAACTGCAGCAACCCTTCCTCGCACCACAGTGAATGATTTAATTTCCGATGCCTGCTAAGGTACGCGGAGAGATACCATCGCGTACGGCCACTTTACCTTCTGACCCAGCCCACTCTCGGGCCGAATGTGCAGTCCTGCAGGGCCACGCTTAAAACATAGCCGGTCCACTCGCTACACTAAAGAGCTCAGGGGGTAATAGGATCCATGGTGGTCGTCATATCCTCTGTATACATTGCCTCACTATTGGCTAGGAGTCACACCTGAAGAAGCGCGACAGCTAGCCATTCCACAACCGCCGTGATAGTCGCCTCGCCCTGAAGATCCTGAGGTCCAATGAGAGAACAGCTGGTGCCATGGACGTGGATCACCGAAGTGGCAGGTATGCAAGCTCTTTTCCAAATCGCACCATACGGTCCGTCACAGCTCGGTGAACGAACCGAACCGAGGCCCTACGGAGATATCCTCATCATATATCCTACGAAGCATAACTTCCTTACTACTATCGCTCGGGCGGGTAGAACCGTAGAGGCGAATGGGTAGCACATGTCACTCATCCCATGGCCTGATACAATGGCGATCATGGTCACCCAAGGTTAGCAGGAAATTTTCTAAAAAATGTTTAACAGATTAAGAGCCGAAACGATGATTCACACAATCTAGTCTCACCATATCTTGAAAACTTTGCATGAGGTTTTCGATTTCCATTCCGGGATATGTACACGAAAGCCGAAGGCCTTATCCCACTACGGAGGATCCCTCGGTCATACTATATTCTAAGAGTACTTGGTTCTTGTCCGTTGATTACACTAAGCACCTTGATACTCTTACGTGGCCTTGAACTATCACCGTTAGACCATGCAGATTTTCGAGGCACAACTACGCAACTCAGATGATTTTCCACCGTGCGGACGCGTCCAGTTAATCAAAGTTGCCAAGAGATGTCGGGGCACAGTTTCCTCAGCTAACCCCTGTAAACTGTATGGCCTGGCCTACCATTCTACAGAGTATACGTATACTCTATAGAGATTTTCCAAAAGTACGAAACAAACAGGGCAAACCGCCGCGCTGCGACCAAAAGACCCTTGGAAATCCCCACATTTATAGTAGGTCGGGGGGCACGTGCCCTCTCTATGCTAACATTCATCCACAATTAATTACATCCCAAGAATCCGGAACAAACGCACGGTATCAGACAAAGAAAAGGGGCAATGGGCCAATCAGCTGATCGAAGAAAGCTCAAAGAGACTGATGACCTTCATTATCTACAAGGATCAGAGTGCTTTACCCTGAAGTACCATGCAGGCGAGGACTAGGATCCTGTCCAGTAACCAGCCTCAGCAAAGGTACAGCCTTGAGGAGCAATAAGCCCCTTGCTACGTTGGCTCGGCAGAGGAAGCGGTAACAACGACGCGACAATAAATTAGCTCTGCCGTCTCACTCTTCGCACTAACCATGAGCCTATATATTAAACTTCAGTATCCCTACTTATGGGTAAGTACGAACGAGTCAGTTCGAACTCCTTTTTTTTTTTTCCTACTGAGACAATTGAATATTTTCATGCCGATTCCGTTCCTCTGGTTCTTTTTCCGGTTTAACTTTTGCTTATCCCTCGCTCACTGATTGATTTGTTGGGGCAGCGGTGCCGCCAAGATCAGACCGAGTCAGTGCCTGGCTAGTTACCAACTAGTGGGAAGCGGTCCTGGAGCTATGACCGTAGTCTAGTTGGTCAATGTACAGGCGGCATTTGCATAGTGCCCTGGGTATGGAAACCGCTCGTGGAGAGATATCGATTGGGTTGTGGCTTATGCATGTACTTTCGATAGACCAGTGAGCCTTCATCACGTTTCTGGCTATAGCAGGGCATGATTCGGTATCAACTACACAGTGAGCACTGATTTCTTTGTTAGTCTGGAAGTACTATCAATGAAAGGCCGTGCAGCATATTACTTGAGATCCTGGTACTAAATAGAAACAGCATCGTACTATCACCACAGCGCATTCATTCTTATTGCAGACCTATATATCATCTCGGCATCTGTGTTCAGAGTGCTTTACATAGCTCCACTCTCACTGATTTAGCCTAGAATCTTGGATCAACGTGACTGGGTTAGTTTAGGCTAAATGCTAGCTTGTGAGTGTACTGTCTGGCACTGAGTATACGTATTTGATGTATGCAACATCCCTAGTATAATTACGCTGGATATCGAACATATATCAAATAGGTATAGCCTAATTAAGCTCGTCGGGCTATTCTAATCAAAATAGTAGAAGTCCTGCGTTTACTAGGTAGTAGAAGTTATCATATAGGTACACTTGGTGTGATACTGGGATTGAATGCAGTGGAGATGGACATTGTACCCTATGTACAGACTTTAAAGCTTGCATAGATAGTCAATAGATAGCTTCTATCTTGACCCCCTGATGTGTCTGGAGTATACCTATCATTCTCTTTCATATACAATGGCCATTCCAACTACATGCACAGCACAAGCGTATCTCTTACCGCCAGGTAAACCAGATATACAACAAACACAAAAAGCACCAACACGCAAAGAAAACCAAAAGCCCACCCAACCAGAAGAAAGAACCGGAAATCAATCTCCGTGTTTGCCCCCCCCTTCTTTAATAAATTATAAATTATAAGCCACGCCCACTATCAATATCACCCGTCACATATACATACATACACCCCCCCCGGGCGCCACCGCCAGATTCTAAACCCCCCTTAGCGGTTGATCGCGGTATCACAACATAAACACCGAGCATGGAGCATGGACTGATTCCGGCCCGATCCGTGTCTTATCAAGCCTGTTATTGTGTTGGTTGCTGACGGAGGACCTGTATGAAGGGGGGCGGGGGGTAGGTTCTGAAACATAGTGCTTATGGCTGGGTTGGACCCTGGATTTGTTGGCTTTGATGAGATTTATTATTAGGGGGATCGGGATTTGAGTGTGGAGGCTGCTTTTTTGGTAGACTCTATTCTCTACTGGGATGTAGGCTTGGGATGTCTTGGTGTTAGGTTCTACTAGGTATGTATGGTCTTGTTAGTGGGTGTTTGGTTCTTTGTCTGTTGTATGTTTATTGTATATTGTATATTTTTACATTGTATTGGCTATTGTATAGACGAAAGTACTGTCTGGCTATCTAATATCTACCTACCTACCTACCTATCTACATACATGCATAATATAACACACACAACATGGCCACGAATCCAGATCCCCACAGTAAAAGACAGTAAAATGAATAAACCCAACAGGACCAATACCCAGACTCAGATCCAAAGTCAACAACGTAATCCTCATTTCGGACCAAAGGCCCCCCCCCTATAACAGAAGAGTTATAATAGCACAGCGTGCTAAGTGACGGCCAGAGCCGACGTTAACCTTTCAAGCGTGGTAGTTGGTCAAGGAGTTGACTTGGCCCTGGTCAGGTGGTTTAGGTTGGGACTAAGCTTTTGGGTTTTTTCTTTCTTTCTTGGGGGTTACTAAATTAGTTAGGTAGTGGTTGTCGTGGTCCATGGTTTACTGGTATGGCCGGAGATTTGGAAGGCTTGGATGGTGTTGTGGGTGGGTTATGGATGTTTGTGCTATGTACTGGTCTTAGGGTTATGGGTGTGATTGTGATTGTGATTTGATTCTGTGGGGACCTTGAGGATTGGGGGTTTTTTCTTTTCTCTTTTTTGTTCTAAACTAGGGGTGCATTGGTGGTCTGGATCTTTTGGCTTGGTGTTGTATACTGCTTCGTAGTTTGGGGGCGGTTGTGGAATGAGATAGATAACTTCATTGCAGATTCATGAACAAATAATAGATATATGTACTCATGTACTCTTGTCTCGTAATAGAGAGAAATCATACAGCAGGCCTCTTTTCATTCCTGCCATCCCGATTCGTCATCAAATACCGCATACAGCAAAAAAGATAGAAACCGCCCGAGCCCTCACTTCTCCAAGTTAGGCTCACGAACCATGCAATAAAGCTGCCAAACACATTATCAGACATCCATCTCTCCAGATGCAAAGGAAAAACAGAAAGAAAGAAAACCTACCATGCAAACATCTTCCCCATCCCGACACTCCATCTCCTTCTTCATCCTAAACCCCATCTTCTCATAAATCTGCACGTTCGGCACGTTCCGCGAACTCTCCAAATAGCACTTCACTCCCTCCCGATCCGCCATATCGGTAACAGCCTCGAACAACTTCCTCCCAATCCCCCCGCCCTGCGCCTTAGGACTGACAGCCACAATGTTGCAGAAATAGTACCCCCGCGGATCATCCCAGATCGCGCTCTGCGCCTCCTGCTGCCTCTCCTTCCAGATCCAGTACCGATTAGTCCGGAGCCCGCCCCGGCCTAAGTTCCAGATGTTGTTCAGCATCTGTCGCCAGCTCAGCACCCACCCTTGACACCAGCTGTACCAGCTCTCCGGCTCCGAGGCGGCATGCGGCGGTAACCAGCAGGACACGCCGACCACGCGGTCGACGCCATTCGCATCAGTTTCCTTGGCGACGTGAAACAGGGCGTTGTTGATCCCCCAGAGACACCGCGCCGCGAGGGAATCATAGTTTCTTTGCTTGTTGAACTGTGAGTTTCGGGACATGGCTTGTCCATCACGTCGGTCGGTGTGCCACCTCGACCGCGGTGATGGGCCGCTGTCCGTTAGCCTTTTTGTCTGCGGCGGGATTTCTTGCCTTGTGTTGGGATACGAGGGCTTGAGTTCGAGGAGACTTGGGAATAGTGGTTTGCCTGGTGATCACAACTCACCTTGGAAGGATCGAAAACCCATTGGAAATATGGGTCTTCTGCGAATGCTTGTTGGATGACTTCGATCGCGTCGGGGATGTCTGCTTCTGTAAGGGGGACGACCTCGACAGGCATGGTGACGGTGACGATGGATGGGGGTTATCTTGAGTTATACTGGCGGATGTCAACCTTATGCAGATGAGCGTCGGGAAACTTCATATGGGCGAAGAGAGACTCACCGGGTAAGGGTTTGATATGGTTGTTCCGAGGTACAGTATGTTCTATTTCCCCGCAGGACGTGGAGACAGCAAGGAGGAAGCGATCTACGAACTGAAGGTGAGTTGGTCGGTGGTCACTGGATCATTATGGATGAACTGAGAAAGAAAGTATCCGCTCGGCTTTATCCGAAAAGGAAGCTCTATGCGGGATTCTCCACTGGGCGGTAAAGGCTATACTGCTTAGATCTGAACGACGTCATTTCATTTCATATTCTTCTGACTACATCGGCGTTACCGTACATTTCTCTTTCTGCACAATATCCATGATATCCCTACCCCCCTTACATAGCGATGGCGAAATATACTTGATCATGACCACCACCCATAGCGAACGTTAGGCACTCAAAGCAGACAAAGTTCATCACCTGCAGGTGTATGGAGACCCGCATCAGCTCTTGAAAGTGGAGCCGATAGGGCCAACTTTAATGTTGGAATAGGCCACATAGGCGTTAGGGTTGGAGGCTTCAACCTCGCTAGGAACACCAGAGGACGTGGCGCAGGTTCCACGGGCCACGCCGGGCTTACTGGTGGACTCGTCGGTGGGGTAGTTGCTGTCAAGCCAGAGCATGTTGGCGTAGTAATCATCCCACAAGCTCATGACCAGCACCATTCCAGTCGACATGGCTTCGCCCATGCCGGCGAGCCCACCGTGTTTCGCGAAGCTACCCGAGCCGTCGAACAGGCTGTTTTCTGCGGTGCAGAACTCCGAGTTGATGGTGTTGCCGCTGAGACCACTGACGTCTGCGCTGGGCTGGGGGTATGTGACGCCGTCTTGCACGTAAAACCGTTTAATCTCAGTCAAGGTGCCGCTGGAGGTACCGTCATCGGTGATAAACTGCGTCACGACTGTCATCGGTTTGTTGGTGTCAATTGTCTTACCCGGACCATAGAAGGTGGTGTTGCCCACACGATATGGGTTAAAGTCGCAGCCGTCAGGATCACACGTCCCACCGTAGCGGTCGGAACTGTATGTGCCACCGCAGGCATCTCCAGTGCATAAAGTGTTGGTGGCCGTATCGCATGGGTGAGGAGTGAGAGCCTGCGAAATGCTGTTGGACTCCCATATGTCCAGCTCTGCGCAGCAGGAGCCATGGTTTCCAATGCCTGTATTGGCATTGTTGGTTGACGGTACCCAGCCTTCGACATTGGCTTGTCCCTGGATAAACTTGATATCCCGTGGGCATTGAGAGTCACAGTAACCAGTACCGTACTTCGCGCCGGCTTTGTTGTTTGGATACTTGGAAACACCTCCATCGGCGTCCATTACGACGAAGTACAAAGCGCCATTAAGACCACATGGAAGCTTGGAGACATCCACATCGAAGGTAAACTCTTGGTTCAACAGTTTGTAAACCTCGTAATTGGTATCGTCGGCCATCATGTAGACACGAGAACCGACGTTGGAGTTGGTGACGAAATTGAGGCGGACCTCGCTGCCGCTGGTGGTGATACCGTAAGTGTTGGAGTAGTCGGCACCATCTAAGGCACATTTCTGGGCACAAGCGTCATTGGTGCTGCAGTAGGAAGTGTCCCATTTATTGCCAGTGTAGCAATTGCTAGAGCTTCCAGTTTGGTGGACCCAACGCCAGTTGGCATCGAGGACAACGGAGCCTTGCTTGGTGCTGCAACTGCCGCCGTCACTGCATGTCTGCCAGGTCATGGAGGGATGGGTTTCGGTCTGGTAAGTCCCAATCTGCTGACCCTGGGCAAGGGTCAGGACTGAAGATAAGATGAAGGCATTGCGGCAGATTCTAGAGAGAAGAAAGGAAGCCATCTTTGACTCTGCAAAGCTTTGCCGGTGCTTGGACTTCATGAATCATGTTGGAGAGCTCCAGGAAGGAGCCATCTTTATATAGATGTCCTCCCCGACTCAAACATTGCCATATTGTGCAGACTAGAGTGCTTGTCTACCGGATCGAAGGACCGCCGGTCCGTTAGAGGAACGACATCTGGAGGCGAGCAGTTCATATCTCCGTGATGAAAACAGAATAACCTCCATCTAAGCAAAGACAAGAGCGGGAATCAGTTCGCACTGAACCTAAACAGGTCCGTATTCCCCGTAACTAATACTTAGCGGCGAGCTTCACGTTGTGCAGAATCCGAACACTTTTACCCCGAAGTCTCTTGCTCCTCACCGTAACAGGAACGGGTACGGGATCCCCGGACGGACTAGTCGTATGGGCTTTTCGCACTTCTGAGCCAGGCGTCTGTCAGACGATTGATCAGGTGATTCCGTAGTGCGTTGGGTAGGGAAATCGTGAAGAAACAACGGCCCTGATTCATAGCCATCGAGATCCAAGACAGAAAACAAGACCTCGGGTTGGTACATCCACCAATGTCATCTTCTCTATACTGAATCGGATATCATCGTCTAAGCTATGGGTGTGCCTCCCCAGATAATTCTGTATGGTGACTGTTGATGAACCCCTCAATTAATTTAGCAAGAGGAAACCCGGGGAAATGTGTTGAGGGGTGCCATATCCAAGTGTGATGGTCCCCAGTCTGACATGCAGACCACGTGCTAGTATAGCCACCTGGGACTGCAACCTCGCAATCTCCACATTTTCACCCGGTTAAATTGATATCGAAACACGGTGGCGCTGGCTTGTGAGAATTGGGTTCATCAGCCATGGCCTGACAACCAACATGGATGTTCCAGACCGCATGATCCTCTGACTATAGAAGGTCAGCGGAACGGTCCTTGATCTAGTCGGGTTCGTCTCTGTTAGCGTCGTCCTATCGTGCAGGTTAATATTGCTTAGCTACTGGCAATTATATCCCGATATCCTAGTCTGTAACGGCATATGTTCCGGAAACGTGTTCTCAGTCAATGGACTGTCACCTCGCGGGCTAAAGGTTAGCTAGCGTGCGTCTTCGAATAAGATTTGCTACTTCCCCTTTACAGCCATCATGCCGAGGCTCAATCTCGGAGACGATGTCCCATACCATTTGTCTAGGCCTTCTTGTTCAGGACGGAATGAAGAATGGGATGCGATGTTATAAATCATCAGCGCCAGTCTAGGAGGCGACTTCCCCGACATATCACTACCTTCATATATACCCGTTTATTGTGTTGATTCTCTGGTAAGAGAATTGCGATTGCATAACATTCGACTTGAAGCAAGGGAAAAGATCTATACATGTGTCGGAGATAGCAGAGGGATTCCAGATTGTATAGTCTTTGTAGATGCGCTGTTGGAAGCAATTCTAGTCGAGGTGCGTTCACATGAAGTACTTACAAGATCTGAATGATGAAACAGTGGTCTATATACTTTAGTAACATATAAATGTATGAAGCGAATTGTATCAATGGTTAGTACAAATATGTTTGTATGACATAGACATAATGACCTTGAGAGATGTATAACAGAGAAAAGAAAATCCAAGAAAATCAAGATCGCTCATGTTGATGCCCTCCTAACCCAGCGCCGGCCACCATCCTTATCCTTCTGCGCCTAATAACCCTGTAACCCGACCAAAAAATATAACTCATCAGCATACAGCGCAAATCGTAGGATACCGTGAAGGGAAGTTTCCGGGTAAAATATCAAGCACCCGTGGGTCCCATCAAAGACGAAAAGAATACATTTAATTCATGACATCGTAACTCCATGACTGACATCTAGTCGATTGTTGTCTCACGGCTTAGACGGTCGACTGATCCAGGCGAACCCACTCCCGTGGGACGTCCATACTGCGGTTCACCCGACCTCCAGGGGTCAGAGGCACATCAACCCGTCCGAGACCCCGTGGGTCATCGGCAGTTTCCTCATAACACGACAGCCGCGAGAAATAATCCTCCAGCACTGTCTCCCGGTCGTTATTACCGACGATAGAAGTGTATTCAGGGGGTGGTGTTATGAGGGGCGGCGGTGGCGGAACATCCTCGAATGCGGGTGGAGCAAATGACGGAGCACGGAGAAGATGCATAGGACGCGGTGGAGGATCATCTGCACGGTCGTTTGGCTCGTGTGCCAAATGCGCCTGAGGAGGTCGTGCCAAGCCACCAGAGCCATTCGTGAAACTTCGGTAAACTGCTCTACCAGTCGGCGGCTCCTCTACTTCGAAGGACGGAGAGTGGCCGTTCGAGCTGGCTTTGTTAAGCGCGGCGGCTCCCGGACACCCACATTCGTATTCCTGGGCAGGCGGCGCAGGATCCGAATTTGGGGAGGTATACGCTGGGAGATAAATGTTGGCCTGTGTGGCCTTGCACGAAAGTAGGTGGAATGGAGAATCGATAGAAATCTCGAAATGCCTTCGCTTACTTGGATCTCTTTCATCCACCTTCGAGAGACGAAGGACAATCTGGAAGAATCGCGTTAGCCAACTTGTTTTTATAACCTAACAGGTGGAAGCTCATCATACCTTGATCCAATGATTGATCTGTATATTTTCGTACGTTGTGTCAAAATGTAATCTGTGAGCCTCATCCCGATTTTTCATTTCATGGCAACTCGGGAGTTGAACATTAAACTCCATTTCGGTCGGACCGACGCCGGAATCGCTGGCTAAATTTCCCAAAAGATTTGTCCGGTTCCGGTCTACAATTTCATCACCTCTCGCAGCAGCTGTGCGATGATCCCAGTCAATGCCACCACCTGCTGTGACGCGCATTGAGCTGCCTGGGTATGTACTCGTGCTCGCTGAATCGGCTCGCTTCTCGAACAGTAGCACCTTCTTGGCCGGCTGAAAGCGGTGGACGCTCTTGTCTGCCGTCCAATGCTGTATGTTTTCCGTTACATAGACTTTAATCCGGTGGCATTCGACTTTGGCTAGCGGTGTTAATTTGAATGCAATGGGGACCTGACTGCCTAATGGGAAAGATTTCCCTGAGATAACGATGTCGTAGTGTAATTG